TTTTGGTTCAACAACAAGTGGCTGTCTCTTTATTTGAGAAGCTTGTTCATTCCTAGTAATATCAATCCTTATCTTCGCAGCAAGTGGCGATCTCTTCAGTCAATCCCTGACATAGAAGCGTGTTGTGGCTCAACATATCAGAGTTAGCATTGTTTTGTTCTCTAATAGGTGACTGTCTCTTTATTTGAGAAGTATGTTATGATCCTCGATCAACGCTAAGATAAATCTCCAGCAAGTGAAGACCACTTCAGGTTGAAGACCAGAAGTCTAGGAAAGCTTGTTTAGCACCCTTTCTTAGTGGAATACTTGGTTAAATAAGAAACTGAGACCCGTTCTAGGTGGAAGATCAAAAGTCATGGAAGGTTTGTCACCCTTTCCAAGTGGAAGACTTGGTTAAAGAAGAAACTGAGACCCATTCCAGGTTGAAGACCGAAATTCATGAGAGGTTTGTATCCCTTTCTAAGTGGAATACTTGGTTAAAGAGGAAACTGAGACTCATTCCTGGTGGAAGAACAAAAGTCATAGAAGGTTGGTTACCCTTTCCAAGTGGAACACTTGGTTAAAGATGAAGTTGAGACCCGTTCCAAGTGGAAGATCAAAAGTTATGGGAAGTTTGTTATGAATTCAAATCTTGTCCGCTACCTTCATCTATGAGTTGGTAGTATATCATCATCCATGAGTCGGTATTACATGTTTCTATACTGTCATTCGTGAGTCAATATTTCCTATTTCTTTATCGTCATCCATGAGTCAATATTACATGTTTCTATACCATCACCCATGAGTCTGTATTACATGTTTATTTACCGTCATCCATGAGTCGATATTATCCTGTTTACTTCCTTCGAATATGAGTCGGTAGTATGTCCAGATCCTGTTCATTGCCTTCAACTAAGAGTAGGTAATAGTTCCTTTCTCAAACTAACTACTTAAGGTGGAATCCCTAGTAAGCTCAATATATTTTCCTTTATGCATAATTCCTTGGTGGAGTTTTCTATTGTCACTTGTTATCTCTTTTACTTCTAGCTGCACTTTGGATTATTCCCTAGTATGGGCCCTCGTGATGTTGTGTCGCTCCCCAGTGAGTTATGTCTCCTTGTCGGGCCCCCATTAAATTTTTTTCCAGTAGTATCAAAGTTATGGTTCGCCTACGCGGCCCCGTAGCGTCTTCCCTGTGGAGTCCATATCTTGTGAATTCATATCATAGGCATCATGTGGCATCTTAGGAAAAATCAGGTCTTTTGTATTTTAGTATCTTCAACCCATTCGATACAAAGATTTCCAATCTTTATATCTTCAAATAGAAGAAACTTAAATAGGGGCATCTATCATAACCTAAATTTTACCCATAAGATTCCACTTGTCATATCATTTGGATCTCATTAAAATCACAAGCATGTTATCCTCCTACAATTGACTTTTAAAATTAGAAACGCTAATCTGGGTTCCTGGACTGTATTGTTCTTCTCCCTTGGGGGACAACCTCAAATTGGATTCATACTTGATCCAATGTAGTACCCTTGATGATATAGAGACTTGTTATATGGAGAACCAATCCAAAACCTTGACTGATCAAACCATAGAAACCCCGATTTCTGACTGTGTGAAACCCTAATTCACCTGCATCTTAACAAAGATCAAACTTGAAAAGGGTTAAGGTTAGATAAACAAATGCTGATGCTCTAGAATGATGATGTGATCTAGGGGTAAATTTTGGGGTATAACAGTACCATGTCCTCACTTCATTTCCTATAAATAAAGGATCATTTTTCCTTCATTTCCAAGCTTGGATAGCCAAAGAAATTCTGAAACCATTAAACTCAAAACCTCTCAAAAATCAGATATCTAAACTTCTAAATCAAGCTTGTTTCAACTTGTTTATTTGCCCAAAATCCATCATTGGCCTCCTTTGAAGCTAAATGAAGCATTGTCATAGCTTGAATCCTCCTGCAACCTTCAACTCAATTCCACCATTGTTGACCTCTGAAGCTTCGACTGAATAGGTAGCTACGAGTAAAATTTCTAAGCAAATAAGTTATCAGTCTCTTCTTCTTGTTCCACTGATCAAAAGCCCTCTATCACCTTGAATTTATATTATGTATCTGTCATTTAATTTTACTTTGAACAACTAGGGTTCTTCACATTTTTGAGCAAATTCTCTCTACTCAGAGCAAATCAATTATCCTGATGCAGAGAGACATGAACGATGATGTGTTGCGCACTCGAATCCATAATTGGTTCTGGTTAGAAACATGAGTTCATTGAGTTTGCAAAATCAACTCAAAGTTGAAGATGAAGCTGGTTGTGCACGTTGTGGTGCCAAAATTTGAATTTCGACCATTCTCAGCCTAACACATCACTAGCCATTGGTTTTTTTATTTCAAATTAGTTTTTTCTAACTTCTTTTTCTTTTCAATAGCTCATTTATGCTTTTTAACTCCAATTTATTTTTTCATAATTTCATAAAAATATTTTCTACCATATAACTTTTTTTTGCATAATTTTTAAAAATAATTTTGCATTTAATTCATATTTATTAAATTTCCATTTTCAATTTTACTTTTGATTATTTTTAAACTTTTGGCACCCAACTTTTGAGATCCTTTTATTTGCAATATTTTGGACTTTTCATAATTTTCTCAACCATTTACTTTACATTTTGGTGCATCTTTTGAATTTTCCTTTTAATTTCCATTTTTAATCATTTTAAAAATCATGTCTCTTTCATTTTTATTCATATTTTTGAATATTTGTGATTTGGCATTTGATGATTGCTTGGTTGATCATTTGTTCAACATTTAAAGTGTTTGTTTGATATTCATTAGTTGATTCAACCTTCTCTGATTAAAACTTGCTTATAAATGATCATCTAATCATTTACGGTATTTTGCATCAGAAATAGGTTATCCCTAGTTGGATCATACTTTGAGCCTTCGGTTTTTTTGATAAACGGTCCCATACATGATTGCCTCAACTTTCATTTCTCCTTCACCTTCTTCTTCTTCTTTTTTTGACTTTTGTGTTGCATGTTTTAGGATACTAACTTGGTGTTAGTTCTTGAACATGTTTGACACATATATTTTATTGAACGACCTCAGATAGGTGTGACTTCTGCATAAGTCCACTAACGATTTCTTAACATAACGCTAAATTGTCCCGACTCGGTTGAATTCTAATTAACAATAACATTGACATATTAATTGTGCTAACACCTAACTTTTACTTTTATACTCTTTACATTTATGCCATTTACTTTTATATTTTTACTTTTATATCAGTTTACATTCATTGTCCTTTACATTTCTTGCCTTTTATTTTGGTCTTTTACATTTTTCCTTTTGTTTCTTTTCTTATTTCAAAAGCACAAAAACATGATAAAATAGCTAAAACCCTAAAACATTTAATTTAATATCTTGGACTTTGTGTTATTATCCCTTACTTGAGGAGTATTTTGGACCTTGTACTTTAGAACTTAGTGTTTCCCTTTGCTTGGAGTGGTACTTGAAACCTTGTGATCCATATGAGACTTGATGTTTCATCTGAGACCTTTGGTAGTTCAACTCAAGACTTGAATTCTCCTTATGGCTTGGTGACATTAGTTGTCCAACTAGTTTTTCTTTGATATTCATATGTCCTTGTTGCTTGTTCATCTTGTGGCTCAATCCAAAGGGAAAGGAATACTTGTTTTGACCAATGTCAAATGCTTGCTCCATCTAGTATACTTGCACACACAAAGGCTTTCTCTTTGGCTACCTTACAATGAGACCATTTTACTTTATGCTTTAGGATACTCTCTTCTTTTCCTTCCCACTTCTTAAATTTTCAAAACTTCTCCCTATTTCAAAATCTTCTTGTTTTCAAATTTCACACCTCTTTTCTTAATAAATTTTAACTTTGTCAAGTGATTTAGAAAATCTTTTTCTTAATAAATGCTAAAACATTTAAGCATATTCAAACTCTTTTCAATTTCTAAAAAAAAGACAAACCTCATCAAACTTCTTTTTGTGCCTTTGTGCACTTTTTTTAAGAGCTTTTTTTTAAAGATTAGATATTAGTATGTTCTTGTAGTGATGCAAACCACTATAGTTTCACAAGCTGCTGAGAAATGATTGACATTTTCACTTGAATGTTGAGATGTGCTTGTGATAAAGTCCAATTAAAAGTTCTCTATATCAATATGATGCAAATGCTCATTTCCCCATACTTGTGGGTAGTAAGTTGAGTTTGCCACTCGAATACGACGAAATGTCTTTTCAATTAAAATCAATCAACAAACGATCCAGCTTTTTTTATAAACACATATTTGCCAGTGGTTCCTGTTGAGTACAATGGATGTGAGGGGCGCCAATACCTTCCCCTTGGATAATCAACCCCCGTATCCATATCTCTCTCTTTTTTAGCTTTTTGCTTTTTGCGGGTTTTGTTCGACCTTTTTCCCTTTTCCCTTTAGAAACAATAACGTTCGGTGGCGAATCTTGCTTTTCGAGTTAAGTTAATTAATAGCTTAATCTCAATAATTTTTCTCGTCGCGACACATATAATATTCAAAGGATTCAAAACCATAAGTTAAACTTATTGACTTTGACCAATCCCTAATTTAAATCAAGAGCCAAAAGTGATACCAAAATAAAGAATTATGAATCACCCAAAAGAAGATGCCACGATAAAGGGTTACAACTCACTAAAAAGAGATAACTTCTGACCTTAAGCCTTCATTGCAAATGAACTAGTTGAATTAGTGTAACAAGTAAGTGGACAAAGCCATCAAGGCCAATAAGTCAAAATGTATGCAGATGAATGTTTTTTAAACTACTGACAGCTCATGACCAGATGAAATGGTCATGTTAATGCAGAAGAGGATGTACTGAAATGGAAACAATGCAAATGTAAAAATGGGTAGGACAAGTTTGGGGTATAACACTCTTGGTAGTCTCATCAAGGCTCACAGACCACTTCTTGTGTCCAGTCATGTGATTGGAGCACCTGGTACTAAGATACCATCAATCACTCTTGTCATTCTCATCTTTAGTTATGACCATGAGTAACATCTGCTCCTCTTTTGAATCCTCTCCATGAGCCATTCTTGCTTTAGCATCCGTTCCGCCATTGCCACGATTGAACTTGCACTTAGATGCAAAGTGGACAGAGTTTCTATAATTAAAACATTGTATTTATTCTTATCATCTTTCTTCTTGTTATTTATGAAATTCTAATCTTTCCCATGAGATTCTTATTTCTGTGAGAAAGATGAACTCGAGTTTTGTCTAGTTCCTTTATAGTTCTTTCCTCTATCATTTTTTCATTTACCTTTTCCTTTTCTTTGCATGTTCCCTTGTACAGAGAACCTTTTGTTAGATTGGGCCTGTAGAGCATGATCAGAATTCTTATCAGGACTCCTCTCTTTAATCCTCAATTCATGTACCTATAAGGAACTACGTAGTTCTTCAATCTTGAGGGACTTAAGGCCCTTTGACTCCTCTATCGCGACCAAAATATGACCGAATTTGAAAGCTAATGTTTGAAGCACTTTCTCAACCACCAATTGATCCTTCACCGCCTCTCTACATCCCTTCATTTGGGTTGTCAAGGATAGAATCCTGGTGAAGTAATCAAAGATGGTATCACTTTTCTCCATCTGCAAAAGTTCATATTGTCTTTGCATTGTCTGAAGCTTCACCTTCTAGTTCTATTATGGAGAGCTAATTTCAACACTAGTATCTAGAACAAGTTTCTTGATTTCGAACCTATGAAAGAAAATGATTGTTGGATGGAAATCATGACCAACAACAATAGGTTTTCTATGTCAATATCAGTTCTTAATGACAAGAACTATGATAGGTGGCATATCCAAATGAAGGCGGTCTTTAGTTATCGGGAGATCTATGAATTTATGCATAATGAATAACAATATTTTGGAGACGATGCGTCCGAAGCTTAGAAATATACCTTTAGAGAATCCAAGTTGAATGATTGTAAGGCATTGTTCATGATTCATCAATGTGTTGATGAAGCGAACTTTGAGAATATTTATGATGCAAAAAATTCTTAGAAGGCCTAGGATTGCTTGGAGAAAAGCTATGAAGGAGCCTAGAAGATCAAGAAGGTGAAGCTCTAGACAATGTGAAGGAAATATGATCTTTTACATATGGAAGAACCTGTTACCATCTTTGATTACTTCACCAAGATTCAATCCTTGACAAACCAAATGAAGGGATGTGGAGAGGCGATGAAGGATCAGTTGGTGGCTGAGAAAGTCCTTTGAACATTAGCTTCCAAATTTAATGTTTCTCCCTAATTGCTTACTCAAAGCTTATTATTTGCGTCTCATATAACAAAGCCATGTGAACAAATTCACCCTCAATTGTGACTTTTGAGTCTTAAGAGACTACACAGTCTCTCAACTGTAGTGGAGCTTGTCTCATTCTTTGAGGTCTTCTTCCATTATGAACTTCTGCCACTGGTTGTTGTTCAAAATCATCGATAGTATCAGATCTTGGTGAAGTAATCATAGATGGTATCACTTTCCTCATTCTTTAAAAGTTTGTATTGCCTTCGTATTGTCTAGAACTTCACCTTCTTGATCTTCTCGACTCCTTTATATTTTCTCCAAGATATCCCGGGCCTCCTAGGAAGTTGTTGCACCAGAAATCTTCTCAAAGTTCGCTTCATCAATACATTGATGAATCATGAAAAATGCCATACAATCCTTCTTCTTGATTTCTATGAAGGTAGATTTCTAAGATTCAGACGCATCGTCTCCGAAAATTTGATATCCCTTACGCACAACTTCATAGACCTCTTAGTAGCTGAAGATCTCCTTCATTTGAATATGCCACCTATCATAGTTCTTGTCATTAAGAACTGGTAATGGAATAGAAAACCCATTGTTGTTGGTCGTGATTTCCTACCAACACACATTTTTTCTCATAGGTCGGGATCAAGAACCTTTCTCTAATGCCACTATTGAAATTAGCTCTCCATAATAGAACTAATTAATCACAATCATACACAACCACACACGCGCGTGCACACACACACACACACAATGATCGAATATGAGAGTATGAAGAGAAAACGAGAGTAGGAAAAATATATGAGTACTTTATCTTATTGAATGAGGAATATGTAACAACCTTATGTAGCTATTATTTTACAACTAATAATAGCAAAACTTATTATAACAACAAAACAATGCTAAATCAACAATTACAGTAAAACATCAAACTGAAGACTCGGACATAGAAACCAAATTACTATTTTGACAAATTTAACCTTTTGACCTTTGGTACCCAAATATTTTTGGGTCCTCAAGCATTATTGGAATGCATATTATCGCTAGGTTTTCAACTAGAATTATGATAATTGAAGTAAGATGAAGCACGCACATTTCTCATTTTATTATCATGATATTTTTATAGAACCGGGGAGGAGGATATACATTTTTAATTTCATGAACTTTCCAAACAAAATAAAATAGAATAACATGGCCACTTTTATTACAATATTTAAATTTAAGCATATTACATTTAGAGTGCTATTTGCATGACATAAATTACTTAAATTTTTAGCATTGTTTTTAGGTTCATAACCTATACTTTCTTTTTTATGTGTTTCTCTTTAATTACCTATAATGAGATTCAATTTATGTGTCCTTTTGGTAAACTTATCAAGTGTGTTGCTGCTTTACTTGACTCGCTATCTAACTTTCTACAGATGAGGAATAACTTAATATATGTGTCACACCCTAATTTTTAACCCTAAGATTTCACCTCTTTGTGCGCCATCTTGCATATTTGTGTGATTTATCACTAACAGGTTAGTGCAGGAATATTGGTTTCGAGTGGAATTTGTATTTGTTCTCACAGTTAAATACTTCAAGGCTTGACCATTGGATTCTGATTCAAAAGATCCTATGGTTTCCTACTGGTCACTTCCCTTAAGATTTCTCAAAGTTTTCCCCAAGGAGGATTAGGATTTCCTATCCATTGGTTTTGAGCATGGTTATTTGAGAAATGGTTGGAGTTTTGTGATGAGTTGCGTTACAAGTTGTATCCTCATTTTCGAAAGATTTCTAAGGGCATGGTTCATGTATCAAGTTTCATCATCATCTAAATCTTTGGTTGTACGTGCAACAAATGTCAAAACGGACTTTGTTCTTATTCATGGAGTTGGATCATCATTTAATTTATTTTGATCTTAGGACTTTCTTGTCGTTATTTTGTGATCAATAAATTTGAAGCGGAGTGATTCCTATTTTACCGTGAAGAATTCACCAATTCAAGTATCCAAATTCAAAATTAAATTTTATGAGAAACTTTGGCATAATGGCATTCAAGTTTTATTAAGTTTAATTCCAAGATTTTGAGATTCACTTCCTTCACAAAATTCAAGTACAAAGTTCAAATTTAAAGATTCAAGAAGGTTCAAAGGCTTGCAAGATTTATGCAAAGTATACAAAAGGTTCCAAATTCCAAGTGTAAAGTGCAAACCTAAAAATTCTAACACCATACTCCATGTTTAAAATTCAAGTTGGAGTCGTTCCCACTACAAAATTTCATTTCAAGTTACAAGGTGCAAAGCGTGCAAGAGTTGAAGTTCTTTACAAAATGCAAGAATTCAAAGCTCACATTAGTTCAAAAATTCAAAAGTGTTCAAAAGTTATTTACAAATCAAGCTCAAAATTAAAGGCACATTATTACGATTCAAAATTCCAAAATTCTATATTTGTTGAAAACTCCATGTTCATCTTCTTTTCTTCATGTCGAGGTTACAAATTCAAGTTACCATTTCTAAGATCAAATTCATCATTTTGAAATGACTAAGGTTCAAATTCAAGTTATCATTATTTAAAGACTTTGGTTCCTCAAGCTTTAATGCCATAATCATAATCATTCAACATTGCCAATTCAAGCATAAGAGTTCAAGTTACAACATCCTTTCCACATTCAAAATTAAAAAAACTTACTCAAAGTTTACAAGTTGGGCTCATAAGTTCAAGTCCATAAAAAATCTCAATTCATCCATACAAATTTCAAAATACCAATAGCAAGTTATAATTACAATTACAAGGATTAAAATTACAAGTCTTGCTAATCTTCACACCTTCATTTTTGTCATCGTGGCTCAAGGTTACTCTGGTTCCCATCAAGTCGATATGCCCTTTCATTTAATTCTCAGGTTATTTAGACAAGGGCATGAGGTGAGCCCGTTTGTACTACTCTTCTCAAGTTGTTGGTGAACGTGGATTTGGCTCATTGGTGTTGGACACTTCATGATTGTGTTCATAAGATTGGTCGTCATGCTAATGCATTTATTGGGATTGCTCTTATTGATGCTTATTTTGTCTGAGAAAATACCGAAAAAGGATCTTATGATAGCACGACGTGTTGACGTGCTCAGAGTGGCAGAAGTAAGGAGGCTTTGGATTTGTTTCTTCAAATTATAATTTTACATTTTGTAAGTGTACTGCAAGCTAGCTGCAAACAAATGGTCACCAGTAATTATAGTTAATACAATTAACTTGATATGAATCATGTTCCCTACTTGCCAAAAAAATATCCAAACATGTTTGGTTAAAAAAGGAAAGATCACAAATACAGTCAAGACAAGAAATCACAGTCATAATGTTGTCTCCGAAACAAGGTCCGACAATGTTGTGTCACTCATTCAATTCGGGGATTTTTTACCCCAGTACCCTCTTTTGAAAAAAAAAATACTAAAATACCCCACTTTGAAATTTTTTTACCAGCATACCCCCTTTCTTGTACGGGCTCGTCCATTCATTGGACCAACTAGTTTGATCCACTACATGCTCGCCCATTGGAAGGACGAGCTAGTGGAGAAATTTTAGGCAGCATGAGCTCGTCCATTGAAAGGACGAGCGTGTGTAATTTTTAATTTTTTTTTTCTGAATTATATTTATGTATTATTGGATTTATTTATTAAAACATTTAATATTTATGTATTATAATTAATAATAAAATTTTAATATAAATTTTAATAAATAATAAAATTTTATTTTTTTTTAATTCTTAATTTTATGTATATTTATTTTTTAATACAATTTTTATTTATTTATTTATGAATTTTTAAATATTAAATGTTTTAATAAATAAATCCAATAATACATAAATATAATTCAGAAAAAAAAAATTAAAAATTACACACGCTCGTCCTTTCAATGGACGAGCTCATGCTGCCTAAAATTTCTCCACTAGCTCGTCCTTCCAATGGGCGAGCATGTAGTGGATCAAACTAGTTGGTCCAATGAATGGACGAGCCCGTACAAGAAAGGGGTATGCAGGTAAAAAAATTTCAAAGTGGGGTATTTTAGTATTTTTTTTTCAAAAGAGGGTACTGGGGTAAAAAAACCTCAATTCGGAGTTATGGATTTAAACTCATCATTTTCCTATATAAGAGTACACTCGGTTATCATCAGAAAAAAGAGAATCACAATGCATTACACACGTACAGTTATTATGTACACTCACAGTCATTTTGGATAGCACCAATATTGACACGAAAAAAATTAAATACACACACTCACAAGCATCAGAGCAATACGCACCATACACAGATACCTGCAGGGAAAAAGCACACATTATAGATAACAAACAACATACACTCAGAGATTTACAAAAGCAGATCATACATTTACACGAGCAATCATTCAACAACACCAATAACAGTTGACGCAGAATATCAACAGCAGCAGAGAAGCATCAGAATACCAACAACAGTCACACATGGCATATGCAGAATACGCGCATCAGAAAAGAAAAGTGACCCGATCTCAAAACAATTAAGCAATACACATTGTTTTTTAGAGAAGAATAATAACAATAAACTGGTGGCGTGCAACAACATTGAATTGGGAAGGAAGAACAACCTTTTAAAATTGTCGACATCGTCGCGCTGAAACTATTCACAGCTAGAAATGTCGAACCGGAAGCAAGAGTTAATGCAAGATTCAGTGAAGCTGCATTGATAAGGTTGGTTGAGCCGCAATTAGGTGGCCTTGAAAGAGAAAATACGTATCGTCGAAGCCATCACTGTTGCCATCGTATATGGTAAATTTCTTTCTTTCCGTGAATTGATCTTCATGAGTTGATATTGTTGTTTCGGTTTGAACGTGTGTTTGTTTGGGTTACAATCTTTTGGTGAGGAGGATGAGAAGCAGAAGAGAAACGAAAGAGGGTTGAACTAGGGTTTTAGCTCAGAGAAATTTGGGAATTGATAAATGTTGCTTATGGAAAGAGGAAAGCGTTACGTGAGAGAGCAAACAAGAGAGAATGAGAGCTGCGAGAGAAAGAGTGGAAGGAGTGGCAGACAAGAGAGAAAGAGGAACTTGAAGGTGATACTGGTGATACTGATGTTCGTTTGGAAGTGTTTATGATTTTGGATCAAAGAAAGAAACTCGACGCAATGCTTGTTTTTTTGTTCATTTTTTTATGAGTTTTTTTTTTGGGCTTTAGGATATAAGGACATTGTACTCACACACCCTCATTTATCCTTTACACCATTTTGTGTTATTTGTTTTATTTTATTGTTTTATTAGTGATATCCTTGATTTAATTTATCTTTGGTTTTTGTTATGATTTAATATTAGATTAAGTTAATTAGATTGTTTTGAGGAATTTAGTTAGGATTAAGTCAGTAACTAAATTTGA